ACTGATCTTAGTGGTAGCTTTGCTGACAATTTTGTTCAAATGAATAAATAAATCTATTTCGTTATTTGAGGGTTGATAACAAAAGCAGAAGCACAAGCACAAAGTAGAATAAATGATTTATGTGTGTGCAAACAAAATTGGCTCCTAATTTTAGATACACAGAGCTGACCTCTTAGAAGTATACAGTAAACATTTCGGGCTTTTCCTTTCTTCGGAGTCCAAGCAGCATGTAATCCCAAACGGGAAACAATAAGACATTTTACATGGAAGCACGAACTTCGATATTCGGTTAGGTGTACAATCGTGCCAAGCGGAGCAGAAAGAATTTTTTTTAAGTTTAAGAATTTGACATTTTGTTTCGAGTTGCGTGGAAGTGAAACCTAACTCAACTGGTTTTCATATTTTCAAACCAAAAAGACTTTCACTTCCTGAGTGGATATTAATTGTTTTGTTCTTTAGGATTCACATCCACTGGTTCCCTGTACAAACTAATCTTCATCGAATATACGGGCACTTACCATACATATCAACGTGTGTTGGACGAAAGTGGGGATAAGACACAGGTAGACGGAGTGGCCACTATGCTGGTAAAATCATATGTTTGTAGGATAAGATTAAGACACGCCAACTACTTTTTACGGCAAGCGCCATTTTCTTTGGTAGTGGATTTTTCATTAATAAGCACACTTTATTTAATCAAAGGGTTTTTTAATAAAAGTTTGCATCAAATTATGCTACCCTGATTTCCCTAATTCATGGAGTTAGTCCCCTTGGTGGGCACCCACTGGGTTTTTGGGTGAATAAAAAAAGTGCGGTCGAAAATGAGTGACGCAATTTATCCTCAAATTTCTCATTAACGGGTGAATCAATGTTATCCATACTTTGCATAGCAGTTTGTATCAACTTGTCTTAACTAAATCATATTTTTCCAGAACAATTGGTGATAGATTATAAAACTGTTCTTTATAAATTTATATAAAATGCTTGAAATCTCTGTCACACGTCAATAAATGGTATTGTTCACAGCACTTCCCGCTTCTCACACACATTTTGATTACGCATAAAATGGCCTAGGTCATATCTCATCAAATAAAATTTTTACTTGCAAAACTTGTTACAAGAAATTATTGTTATAGTGAACACATTTTTCGCCCTAATGGCTCTCAAAACATGCGTTCAATAAGCATAATGCCCCGATTAGAAAAACATGCCGGACTTGCTATTAAAAGGAATATTGCCTCAGCTGTAAACATTTAAAAATCTGTAGAAACCACCCGCTTGGATTTTTTATTAGTATAATTCATTCAGGAATTTTCTAGAATACAGCTAACAGGTGTTTACAAAAATGTTGATCTGTTAAGCCAAATTGATACAAGTCATTGTGCAAAAATTGGAGAACCTATGTTAGATTTTTGAGGAGATATTTGACAATAAGTCACGCCACGAATTTTTGACCGCACTATAATTTCTCACCTAAAGGATATAAAAAGCCACAGAGTGACTTGGAAGCCCAGATTTTTCGGTGGAAAGTTGCGTCCTTTTCGCGATGATATTATACGGTATTCATGTTTTTGATAGTTCAGTGTGAATTTTTTATATATTATTTTGTTTTTGTTTTTTAGACGTAACTTCTAAAATACAACAGGAAGAATAAAAAACGTTTAAACAAAATGACTCGTGTGTACTGATATCAGTGTTTTTATAAATATGTTTTTCTTTATATTCCAATGAGACATGATATTGTAAAATATAATATGAAAAATTAAAGGTAAAGAGATTTTACAACGTTATACTATATAATGATTATACACACTGGCACTTGGATCCTGGTGAATGAGAGTTTTCACAGTTTACGTACAAACACGCAAACTGCATTCATAGACACACACAGCAGCATACATTACACCATAGAAATTTACTTGTGCAACATAAAGACACACACACACACACACACACACA